GTTGAAAATAATATTGGCTACCTTCTGCATTTCTAATTGGACGCCTACTTTCTCCAGTTCCCTCTATATCTATGTAACTATCTGTCGGCGTGTCAGATTGTTTAAAAATTGCTTCATGCTTGACGAGAAAATTAGAGCACTTTTCCCTCCAGTTCTTTTTCAGGTTTTTGTTCAGGAGTCTTTTCTTATCAGAACTGTAAAGCAGAATTGTTTGAAATTAACCTTCCTTTATTTGAAAATGTAAACTAGACTCTAACTAAACTTTGCGAATCCTTATATATTTTAAACCTGGTGTCGCGGAACTGTTTTAAACAACGAGTTCTGTTGAATCAAATGGTCAAGGTTTGAAATATCAAAGATTACAATAAATATAGATTAGAAAACTAGAGTGTCAGGCGATAAATCAGTTTCTTTGACAAATTTTGAATACGGACACAAAAACGTTCTATTTCTCGGTTATTATGATGGAATTACATTCTTTGGAGCGCTAGAGATCATAATATTAGAAATAGAAGTCTGCTTAAATCAGGTTTTCTCCAGTTTTGACGTATTTTGAATAATTTTTCAGTGGGATTTGATGGGTTAACATTTTAATTGACATTTGCCTATATATATTCAGGACTTTTTGTCCTAACTTTCTAATACGTGCAAATACATACTTTTACTTTCCTTTCCTTTTACTTTAAAAAATTGGATTTGATTAAATATTTTAGAAGATAAAGATGGCTATATATGCCCACTGCACAGTAAAAACGAATTCTGAATAAATCTATGTGCGATATTTTTTAAATCCTCTGAAATATTTAAGTAAATGTATTAAAATAAAACTAATAAAATTAAAATAAAAAATAATAAAAATTAAATTAAAGTTTTGTAAATAACATGAAAATAGAAAAAGGAATACAACGAAATAAAATGAACCAAAATAATTTGAAGGAAAGTTAAATTAGAAACGGTGGTAAGCGATTATATCAATATAATGAAGACAACTTTTAATTTTAGTTTTAAATGATAACAAGCTTTTTCTATAAACAATTTAAGAGAAGCTTTTAAAACGAAATTGAAATTGAAAGTCGTCTTCATTATATTGCTATAATTGCCTACCACCATAGGAAAGAAAACAGAAAAAAATCTAAAAAATTAACAGAAATGAAAAGAAATAAAACTAAATTGATAAAATGTTGCTTTCCCAAATACCCCCGAAATGATGCGATCTAATCTACTGGAAATATACCGTATCTGTGAAGCAAGGGAGGGTTGAAGGGGGGGGGGTGATAAGAGTTTAATGTCAAAATATTGATGAATACGATTTTTCAAGCTCGATGCTCAACATGGCGTTGATCTGTTATGTTTCATGAACCTTGTATGTTTATATCCTCTTTCTGAATAAATTCATGTTTTCCAGCCTTTTTCATGTCAGATGAAATATCATATGTATGATGTCCAATTTATTTTAATTTAAGATTCAGTTGACGAATAGTCTAAAGAGAATTTTTACAATTTTAATGGATGTTTTGGCTTTTAACACAACATTATTCTTTACAAAAATTTGAATTTAAAGATAAGAAATAAATTTTCTAAAAAAAAGATTAAAGGAACAGCTGCGGCGTAATTACAATTTACTCTCCATTTAAAGAGTTACACGTCTAATTCACAACGGAGTCATGTTCAGAGAGATCATCAATGGTCTCTTTAACAGAACACCGACGATCAAAAATTGTCTATTTTTAGAACAGCAAGGATATCTCCATCTTTTTGTTTAGAGACCAAGGTTGGACGGGTTCAATTGTAAATCAAGAATGTAGGAATGTATATTTTTTAGATGAAATTACATTTACGGTTCCTTCTTTAATGTTTACCTTTCCATTTATTTTAACTGTGATGTTTTCCCAGGATATACAGCAAACTTTTAACCTTTCAATAGAAAGCAAAGTTGTAAACAAAAAATTATCCCTTTTCCTGAAAATAATTTTTAAAGGCATGATTTCATCATTCAACCAAAAATACATTATTGGTTTAATACCTGGTGGTTAGGTCGGCCCTGTAAAATGTTAAAGGGGTCCTCTTTTTCTTTAAAAATGATTATGTGAAACTTTGTTATTTTGTAATATTGTCTTTTTACACAGTTTTTGTGATTTCCAAAATAATATTAATTTTCATTTTAAGTTTAAAACTGCGGATTTAACAAAAATATAATTTAAAATTCTAAAATGTCTCAAAAATCCATTTTGCTGTTGGTAGGCGATATCATGATAGAATAAATAAATTCTGAATATATCTTAGCTTATCTACTGTTTGTTTGCAATGAATAGTAAATTGAAACCATGTAAGTTATTCTTTTTGATTGGAGGATTGTGGGGAATTTTGGTGGATTTATACACTACATATATCACAACTAATTATTGTCTAACCCCCCCCCCCCTCTCTACCCCATTTTGATAAATTTGTCATTAAGATCAAGTTACTGAAGGATAATTTAAACTAATTGATCTAGAACAAAGTTAGTTATAAAATATCTAAGGTGGGGACAGAGTTGATTGATTGGTGTATTTGTTTAAGAGGGTTGTTAAAAACGACTCAAGGGAGGGGGGGGGGGGGTGCAGGGAGGGGGAAGAAGAATGATTACAAGGATGCAAAATAATAAAGTTGATAAAAATGTGGGGAAAACTATTGCTAAGTAAACAGTGTAAATGTCAAAAAAATAAAATAGGGAAAAGTGGAAACATTTATTTTTATAACCTTAGACCCAACCGGCTTTCTATGAATTTATCTATCTATCTCGTAATCTATTTATCTAATAAACTCCGGACTAACCAGAGTGAGAAGCATTCGGTTTCTCCTATTTGTGAAATTAAACTTGCGAATTTGTTTATTCTATACTTTTTTATTGAAAATGTTTATGCTGACAAGTATATAGGAAAAAAGACTAAAAAATTATGTCAATGGGACAAATTGTGATGAAAACCCCCAGCTTTCTGGAATATTGACAGAACCGTTAATTCCATGGCGTGAATATATATCTCTTTCATATCTTTAAATTAGAATATAAGATTTATCATATCATAACTTATCTCTAAAAGTCCTCTTCCTAAATTCCACATTTGATGGGTCTTATTTTATCTTAAATCGTAATAATGTGAAGTTTGGAATTGTTCTTTTCTAATTTCGAAATTTAATAAAAAGCCATGTTTTCTAAATTTATTTGCCTTTTACATCGCCTCGATCATAACCTACCTTAATACTAAGGATTTGATGACAAATTGATTTCCCGCCAAAAATATGCTTTTTTTCTTTATATCCCCGGCCTGGTCCACTGTAGCCGACATAGTTTTATGAATTTGTTATCTTCCCCCTCCTAGCAAGGCATGGGGCAGTTATTCTAGGCTTAGCTCCTGCATGCCATAAATTGCAAAGGGTAACTTTCAAAACATTCGATTTTTTTTTCAATCAGTTTTAGACTTCATGAAGGAAACGTTGAACTAGATTCTCTCTTGATCTAGATGTTAAACAAGGCTTTGTTTATATTTTAATGATCAGCAAAGCGTTAGAGGTGAATAGTTTTCAAATCTATTGAAAAAAATTATACAATTAATAAAGATGTTTGATACATCATATGTAATATGTATTTATCTACAGTGATATCTAGAAAACTATGGAATATGAAGTCGTCTTTTAGACTCGATCAAGTTATCTTTAACTAGTGTAATGAACACACCCATTTCACTTGATAAGCGATTTGATAACGAGTCAAGCTATTTGCTTTGTAATTACATCAAATGCACTTCAATTTTTCTGTAATGTCGTATTCCTATTCTACTGTTTTCTGATTATCACTGTATTATTACATTTACTTCCTGTCTTGAGACAGATCTAAAATTTTTATTTGATTTGAAATGCTCGAATTTCTTTTATAAAGGAATTGAGTTTTTGCCACAAACTAAAATATTCTGATTCCAATATCTTTGCAACCTTATGGTGCAAACCTTTGATATTTCAAACTTAGATTATTTTATCTATAAGTATTAATTGTTTAAAATATCTAAGGTCTACGTCATTGGGTTACAAAGATATAAAGATTAGAAAATCAGAGTTTGTGGCAAAGACTCAATTTCTTTCCGTGAGTAAAAATTAAGTATTTTTAATGAAGAAATCTGCTAAAATTACAAATATCGCAATTTTTGTTTTCAAAGGGTAATTAAATTTTAGAGATTAGATAAGCTGTTATATTTAAAATTGTACTGTTCTGAATACAGGGTGTTCCAACAAACATAAATATTTAGTACCACCTTTCATTCATCCTTTGGTATAAACGCTTTAAACAAATCATATAAATATTACTACAATTGTAAAAAACCAACATCTTAAATAGTAAAGATTTATACATGCATAATTTGTATTCTCAAAAGTTAAAATGAATTTTTTAAATCAGTTTTTCTAATTGGTGTCGTGGTCAATCTTTATATGTTTCTAAACAAATTGACCATGACGCCGCAGATCCGTGGATCAGCTGATATCTGGCCAGTTTAAACATTTCCCGCATTATTTCGTTCATTCCTCATTCCTTCATTAATTAACTGTCTAACAATGTTAAAATAATGAAGAAATTTTCATTGTATATTTTATCAACAGGTTTCTAAAATTCCAAGATATTATCGAATTAAAATCACATGTCTTTTGTGACTGGAAAGCAGGCCAAATTTGAAAAATATAAAAAGAATACATTTTTAAACTTCATTTTAATTGTTTGTTCGGAATTTGAAATAAATACATTTCTTTAAAGTAAACTGCAAAGACTCAAGTTTTTAAACCAATTCAAACAGATTTAAAATCAATCTTTTTTTCTCCTATGTTTGCACAAACCAATTTCAATTGTTTAAAAAATTATAATTGCCATTTTTTTGTAACTCTGCACAATACGAGAGGTTTTTGACTCTTTGAGGGTCACATTCTGAAAATGCAAAATGTGAGTCTGTCTAAATTTATTTTTATCATTTCAGAGAAGGCTAAAAAATGCCGCCTCCTCCCCCTCCTCCTCCTCCACCAGGGGGGTTAAAAGTGCCACCTCCCCCTCCTCCCCCACGTGGGGCTCCAATGCCCCCACCTCCTCCACCCAATGTTCCTCTAGGGGTCCCTGAAGTTGCCTTGGATCCTGGAAGACTTGATTTAATGTCAAGCTTACGTGGAAACTCTGCCAAAAGATTGCTGAAACCAGTTCCTAGGTAAACCTGTTAGCAAATTTCAAATTACAAATTTTTACATTATAATTAATTTTTTAAATTAGAATGTACCCAATATGAAAATAAAAAACTACTGATCAAGTCATAAATCTGAAGTGCTGCGCTTTTAATCTAGTTTATAAAACTTTTTTTTCCGCACTGAAACAAAATTGCAATGCCTAGTTGTGATATTGCGATGAGTCCCAACTACTTTGCTCCGGAATATTTTTATCAGTGCGCGCTGTATTCATTTTTGTCAGGAAGGAGAAAAAGCATTTTAATATGATTGAACTGCTAAAAGTGGAAGAGAAGAAAAGGCAAGGAGGAATAGGGGTGGCAAAGTCTCTTAAACCATCGGTAGAAAATAAGGTAAAGGTGTAAAACGATTTAAACTTTGGTCTTGTAACAGTCCTGTTGTTCTAAGCTGCAATGTCTTGTATGAAATATTGTATATATATTTAAAAATTAAGGTTTCTGCTTCAAGCAAGTCTGTAGTTTCAGCACAGGATCTTGTAGCTGCTAAACTGCGTAGAACGGAACCGAAGGAGACATCTACTGTTCCTCTTAGAGCCAGACCTACAGGTAAACTCCGTCGAACAGAACTAAAGGAGACATCTACTGTTCCTCTTAGAGTCAGACCTACAGGTAAACTGCATAAAACAAAACTAAAGGAGACATCTACTGTTCCTCTTAGACCCAGACCTACAGGTAAACTGCGTAGAACATAACTAAAGGAGACATCTACTGTTCCTCTTAAACCCAGACCTACTGGTAAACTGCGTAGAACATAACTAAAGGAGACATCTGCTGTTACTCTTAGAGCCATACCAAAAGGTAAACTGCGTCACACATAACAGAAGGAGACATCTACTATCCTTCTCAGAGCCATACCTAGAGGTAAACTGCGTAGAATATAAAAGAAGAAGACACGTACTCTTCCTCTTAGACTCAGATCTACAGGTAAACTGCGTAGAACTGAGCAGAAGGAACATCTTCTGTTCCTCATAACCCAGATCTACAGGTAAACTGCGTAGAACAGAGCAGAAGGAACATCTTCTGTTCCTCATAAACCCAGATCTAAAGGTAATCTGCGTAGAAGTAGAACAGAACAGAAGTATGTTACTGTAATATTAGGAAAAGCTAAAAATTGAATTTATTTAGAAGCAGGTGTAAAGCCATTAGAACATGTAAAATGTTCCACAACAGATGATGATTTGGATGCTCTTTTTGCAGCCATTGATAAGGTATACATAAAAAACGAAAAAAATACAAAACCTTCTTTCAGAAATAGTTTTTTTTGAGCTTAAGAAAAGCATCCATGAATGGTTGTAAAAGTTTCCAGTATTTTTCAATTTTTACATAAACCCTTAGCTTGTAATTCTGAGTTTGCATAGTTTTGTTTTATAAACAACTTTACAACTTTTTTCAATGAACCATTAGTTTTTCAAAGAACTTAAGAAAACATTTTTAAAAAACAAATTGACAAAGTTTATCAAGCGATAATGTTGAAACTAAAATTAATAACTAATGACATTTCGCATAGTTCTAAAGTTGGGTTAATTCAGGAGATAGAACTTGATCCTGATGTTGCACTTGATCTCCTAGATGTTCTTGATGATGATGTAGAGAATATGGATGCTGAACAGGTAAAAATAACAGATCTACAAACAAATCGTGGGTTTTATAGCAATAACTTTTATAAAACACTCTCTGCCATTTAACCCGGATCCTGCAATATTAACAAGAGACAAAATATTAAAGGGACTAAACGGGTAATTTAAAGTGACCCTCCATGCAAAGATGGCGATGCCCGATTTACAAAGGTACCCTTTAATGCTTTTTTCTGACCAAGTACGTAATAGAGATCAATGATTTTCCTTTTTTCAACAATTTATTTTCATTTCCGGGTTCTCTGCGAAAATGTCTTGCACATTCCTTATTTATAAGAAGCAACGGAGAAATTCACAGAAATAAACACTTTTCGAGTAAAAAAAACGATTTTTTTATCCGATTAAGGTTTCAAGGGTACGGTTAAAAATAGAGCATTGTCATATTTGCAAGGCGTGTCACTTGAAATTACGCTTACCGTCCCTTTAAGGTTTAAAAAATGAAACAGTAACAATTATAAATATTATAAAAGATGACAAGCTAAAAACAAGCAAAAATTTAGGAAGACGAGATGGAGCTAGTTAAATCTTCAATATATTTACCGCCTGATGATGAATATGAAATGCAGATAGACGAACCAGAAGAAGAGGAAGATGAAGAAATGAAGGTAATTTAATCAGTTTTTCTTCATGTTTTGAAAAATATTAAATTATACTTAAAGTGGACGTTTGATCGGTTTAAAGTGGACGTTTGATCGGTTTAAATTGGATGTTTTTGATCGGTTTAAAGTGAATGTTTGATCGGTTTAAATTGGATGTTTTAAAGTGGACGTTTGATCGGTTTAAAGTGGACGTTTGATCGGTTTAAATTGGATGTTTGATCGGTTTAAAGTGAATGTTTGATCGGTTTAAATTGGATGTTTGATCGGTTTAAATTGGATGTTTGATCGGTTTAAAGTGGATGTTTGATCGGTTTAAATTGGACGTTTGATCGGTTTAAAGTGGACGTTTGATCGGTTTAAAGTGGACGTTTGATCAGTTTAACGAGCTAAAGCGTGCTTTACTTCAACCTCCGAAAGTATTAGCTACAGTTTGTTTACATATATTTATTTTATATACTTTTATAAAAGCTTAATATATAAACCCAAATCTGTATTAGAAAGTCGTCTTTACTTTTGGGATTTAAACACTTACCACTGGGACATATACCTTCCCCCCTTATTCATGTTTAGTTAATATTTCCATCACGAACTTGAATTTGTCAACGCTGTCTCTGCAAATTTACTTTCAAAGTTTCTTTACAAGTCTGAAACCTGTTTTTGCAAAATATTGCTAAGTTTGCTAATTTCATTGAGTTTGAACGGTTATCTTAGCTGGTTAACTGAGCCGGTTAACTTGTAGAGTTAATCTGTTATTTTGTCTGTTTGATTTATTAGTTAATTCAATAGCCCAAAGTTGTAAATACGATTTAGTCGCCCAATTACAAAATAACCTGACAGAAAAGAAAGTTTATTCACATCTTTTATTTATAAATTACATCTTAGTTTACCAATTCACTTTAGCATGATGCTTCGAAAATATTTTAGAAATTTTAATTTATTCCTTTAAGGCTGAACAATGTTTAATGAGAAAGTTGATTTTATATTTGCGCTGTTTAGGAATCTGATCTATGATCTAGGGTTCAGCGTAGGGGTAGGGTTCAGGGTAGAGATGAGAAGGGTTCAGGTTAAGGACGAGTAGGGTTCAAGGTAAGATGAGTAGGGTTCAGGGTAGGGATGAGTAGGGTTCAGGTTAGGGATGAGATTGAGAAGGGTTCGGGGTAGAGATGAGAAGAGTTCAGGGTAGAGATGAGAAGGGTTCAGTTTAAATATGAGAAGGGTTCAGGTTAAGATGAGTAGGGTTCAGGGTGGAGATGAGAAGGGTTCAGGGTAAAGATGAGTAGGGTTCAGGGTAGGGATGATTAGGGTTCAGGGTAGAGATGAGAAGGGTTCAGGTTAGGGATGAGAAGGGTTCAGGGTAGAGATGTGTAGGGTTCAGGTTAAGGACGAGTAGGGTTCAAGGTAAGCTGAGTTGGGTTCAGGGTACGGAAGAGTAGGGTTCAGGTTATGGATGAGAAGGGTTCAGGGTAGAGATGAGAAGGGTTCAGGGTAGATATGAGAAGGGATCAGTTTAAATATGAGAAGGGTTCAGGGTAAAGATGAGTAGGGTTCAGGGTAGAGATGAGAAGGGTTTAGGGTAGAGATGAGAAGGGTTCAGGTTTAGGATGAGTAGGGTTCAGGGTGGAGATGAGAAGGCTTCAGGGTAGAGATGAGAAGGGTTCAGGTTAGGGATGAGTAGGGTTCAGAGTAAAGATGAAAAGGGTACAGAGAAGAGATGAGTAAGGTTCAGGTTAGGGATGAGTATGGTTCAGGTTAGAGATGAACATGGTTCAGGTTGGAAAGATCTCTACTCTAACCTAAAGCCCTATGACGTACATCAAACTTAAGCCCCAATCTTCTCCATAGTCCACCTTAACCCTAGAGTTTTAACCTCTTATTCTTTACATTTTAGATATAATTTTTCACATTTCAGATCTAATTCAACACTTTTGATAAAAAAACGTTCTTTATTATTCACTGCCAGAAAATAGTTTTTTTTTCAAAAATTAAATTTAAGATTGAATCTCACATTTTTCCGAAAAAAGTGGGATTTTGATCTAATTTTGTTTTAAGTCATATTCCACGTATGTTAGATTCTGTTAGATCAAATTCCAGTGCACCATATTTGCGTTATCTTCAGGAGATGCTGGAGATGCTTGAGAGTGCTAAGGAGGAACTTGATAGTACTGGAGAGGATCAAATCAAACTCCTCATGGAGAAGGTAGATTTTCAAAAAATATTAAAGAAAACTAAAAATGTTATTTCTTAAATTTTTAGTTGGATGATGACGATTACTTCAACACTCTGAAATCAGATATAGCAGCTAAAGAAAGGGAAAAGTTAAGAATAGAAATTAAATCAAAAGAAAAAACAAGAGATGATTTATTGCTCTCCAAGGAGCTGTCAGCTAATAAGGCTAATACTCCTATTGCTGGTATGTCCGCAATGAGCGACAAGAATTTTACTGAACTTGAAACAGATCCATCACAAGTTGAAGATCATACTTCCATCAAGAGAAGAGCAGAAAATCCTCTTGTTGAAAAAGAGCCGTCTAAAAAGAAAAGTAAGGAGAGTAAGAAAAAAAAGATAATTGCCATGGGTGGAGTTTCAATGTTTGGCGGGAAAGATTTGTTTGGCGGGAAAAATCCATTTGCAAACCGGAAGCAGGAAGAGAGTTCTGAGGAGGATGAAGGTGAAGATGATGAAGTAGAACCTGAAGTTAATAAACCTGAAAATGGAATAAAGGGTGAAGTAACATCATCCAACTACAATATAGCAATACAACCAGATGCGGAGGAGAAACCTGTTAGTTTTGAAGATCTACCCAGTAAAAGCCATGTTATCTCAAGCTCAGCTAAACATAGAGTAACTCTACCAAGTAAAAGACGACCTCCAGCACGGCGTAAAATTCAAACAGGTAATAGAATATAGCCACTTCTTACTAGAGGAAATTTATACAAATTTTAAAAGGATGCCTTAAAAAAAATCAGGAAAGCCGAACAGTCAATTCGGACGTCGGATTTTTTTAAGATGTACTCGCACCGCAATACTGAAAAACAGGATAATATTCAAATAAATCTATTTCCTTGATAAAGGTTAATTGTTAAAGGTTAATTGTTAAAGGTTAATTGTTAAAGGTTAATTGTTTGCCACATTGGTAAAAGGGTTAAGTAGTATTTTTCTGATCGACTTAGATTCGTCCTATTTTCTAAAATATTTATTTATTCATCTTTATCCATCTTTCTTGTAGAAGAAACTGTAGGAGAAAATATTTCCTGTGATACCAATGGGACAGGGGAAGACAGCTCCACAAAGGTAAACTTTAACGAAAAATAATAAGAATAGATATTCATAAGGAATTATTTGTGTAGGCTCTTGAAGAACGTTTAAATGGAGATGAATATGATGGTGATGATGATAATACAGAAAGCCATTCCACTATTCGGTACAATATTTTGACATGACAGTTTTTCTTAAAAAATAGTTTTTTTTAAATTTTGATAACTTTTTCAAAGGAAGGGAAGGAGGTCGATAAAAAGAAAAAATCCCCCGAAAGGTGGAATATCCTTATTCGGAGGAATTGATATATCGAAGGGTATTCAGGTAAGAATTTGTTTAACTTTTTGTAAGTTAGGTCTAATGATTAATGAGAATTAGTTGAATATGATATTTCTAATTAAACTAATTTACCACAGGACCCTTGGTTTCAATAGAAAAGTATTTTAGCACCTCATTCAACTAATTCCCGTTGCTAATTTTGACCGTAGGTAATTTTTTATCATTAAAACCGACCATTAGGGAGTAATGGGCGGTTTCTGCCTTATAGAAACTGACCATTTCCCAAGGTGAGCGGTTTCTGTCTTGAGCACACATATTTTCGTTGAAGACACCGAACTTTTTATTGGAGACCCCAGATTTTCGTGGGAGACTTTCAGATTCTCTTTGAAGACCCCAGATTTTGGACGGAGACCCCTAGATTATCATTGGAGACTCCCCGCTTTTCATTGAGACAAAATGTTTGGTCTCCCATGAAAATCTTGGGGTCTCCAATGTGAATCTTGAGGGTCTCAAATGAAAATCTTGGGGATCTCTTATGAAAATCTTGGAGCCTTAGATGAAAATCTGGGGGTCTCCAATGAAAAGATTGTGTCTTCAATGAAAATCTGGGGGTCTCCAACGAAAATCTGGAGTCTTCAATGAAAATCTGGGGTCTCCGATGAAAAGCTTGGGGTCTCAAGGCAGACACCGCTTACCTTGAAAAATACTCTGTTTCTCTAAGGCAGTAACCGCCTATTACCCAGTAATGGTCGTTTTCTATGAGTCAAGAACCACCCTTTACCCCGTAATGCTTGGTTTCTATAAGGCAGAAACCGCCCTTTACCCCGTAATGCTCGGTTTCTATAAGGCAAGCAACGCCCATTACCCCGTAATGCTCGGTTTCTATGAGGCAGAAACCGCCAATTACCCCGTATTGGTCGTTTTCTATAAGGCAAAATTCGCCCATCACCCCGTAATGGTCGGTTGCTATAAGGCATAAACCGATTATTATCTTTAAATGGTCGGTTTCTAAAAGGGAAAAGTTAAGAATAGAAATTAAATCAAAAGAAAAAACAAGAGATGANTTATATTAAATATAATTTTGTTAGTCCCTAAAGAAGCGGCAAGACGAGGAGAACCAAGCAAAGTATTCAAGACAATGTGATAACCCTAGGAAAATATTGTCACAAAATATAAAATATAAGAAAAGTCAGACAACGAAAAAACTAATTGCAAAAGGTTTATATTTGAAAAACAATTATGAAATTGACAAATACTAGACAATTTATAACCCTATTTGCACTTGGGGGGGGGGGGGCGGTCTTATTTTACCTATACCAGACTAAATCTATATTTAGAGCTACTTCCAGTCATTGGATTTCAACATAATTTATAGCTCTTTGGAAAGCCTATAACAATAGAAACCAGATTGCACAATTTTTGCAAGGAAATTTTGCACAGACGCCTGTAAAAGGAATAATTGCACATTTTCAGTTTTTCTTGAATAAAAATTTATGTTTTGAAAATTTTGAAAATGCTTTTGCTTATTTGAATTCGCTGGGTCAAGGGCTTTTCAAAATGTATACTTTGCGCAATTTGCAAAATTATTTTTTGCAAAATTTTTTCATAATAACTAGAATTCACAATAAATTTTTGACGAATATTGAATAAAGGGAGAGTGAAGAAGAATGTTTAACGGACTCGACTGCAACCAGTCTCTTCAAACTAAACACCAAACCACAGGAGGAGAAACTTAAAGAAGAGGAGGAAAGAAGAAGAAAGCTAGAGAAAGAAAAAGAAGATGAAAATAGAAGAAAACAACAAGAAGAAGAGATGAAAGCAGTGGAAGAGAAAGCAAGAAAACAGAAAGAAGAAGAAGAAAAAAAGAATGCAGAAGAACAAAGCAAAAAAAATAAGGAAGAAAAAATAGAATTAGAAAAGAAGAGGAAGAGAGAAGAAGAAGAAGAAGAAAGAAGAAGGGAAGAAGAGAGGAAAAGAAAAACAGAAGAAGACGAAAAAAGGAAGCGTGAAGAAAAGGAGAAATTGAAAAGAGAAGAGGAAGAAAGAAAAAAACTAGAAGCTAAAAGAAAAGAAGAAGAGGAAAGTCGAAGAAAAAAAGCAGAAGAAGCGGAAAAGAAAAGAAAGGAAGAAGAGAGAAAAAGAAAAGAAGAAGAAGAAGCAGAAAAAGAAAGAAAAGAAGAAGAGAGGAAAAGAAAAGAAGAAGAAGAAAGTAGAAGAAAGAAAGCAGAAGAAGCAGAAAAGAAAAGAAAGGAAGAAGAAAGAAAAAGACGAGAAGAAGAAGAAGCGGAAAAGAAAAGAAAGGAAGAAGAGAGGAAACGAAAAGAGGAAGAAGAGCTAAAGAAAAAGAAAGAGGATGAAGAAAGAAAAAGATCCGAGTTAGAGGCAAAACGACTTATTGAAGTACAAGAGAAAGAGAAAAAGGCCGAAGAACTAAGGAAGAAGGCAGAGGAAGAAAAGAAAAGAGCTGAAGAAGAAGCCAAAAAGCGAAAAGAAGATGAAGAAAGAAAAAAGATAGCTGAAGAAAAAAGATTTCAAGAAGAATCTGCTGCGAGGAAGAGAGCAGCAGAAGAAGAAGCAAAACAGAAAGCAGTGGAAGAGGCAAGAAAAATATCTGACCAGAAAAGAAAGAAGTATGAAGAAGATCAGGCAAGACTAGCAGAATGGAAAAGAATCGAAGCAGAAGGGGAGAAGGAAAGGCAGAAAGAAAGAAAATCCTACGATGAAATTAGGTTGAAAGCAGAAGAAAGAAAACGGCAAGAAGAAGAGGAACAACAAAAAGCGCATCTTGAAGTTAAAAGGAAAGCAGAAGAAGCACAAAGAAAAGCTCTTGAAGCACAAAAACATGCAGAAGAGGTTCAACGTAGAAATCAAGAGGAGTTAAGGAGAAAGAATGAAGAAGAAAAGAGGAAGAAGGAAGAAAAGAAGAGAGCTGAAGAATTAAAGATAAAGGCGGCTAAAATTGCAGAAGAAGAGGAAAAACTAAGAAAAAAACAGGAAGAAATAAAAAAACAGACAGAATCAGTCGCAAGGAGAAAGGCAGAAGATGAAGAACGAAAAAGGAAATTAGAGGAAGAAGAAAACAGAAGAAAAGAAGAAGAACGTCTAAAAATAGAAGAAAAAGAAAAGAAACATCAAGAAGAACTTAAGAGAAGAAAGAAAGCCGAAGAAGAACAGAAGAGAAAGCTGGAGGAGGAAAAAAAGAAAAAAGAAGAAGAAAGATTACGAAAGAAAATAGAAGAAGAAAGAAAGAAGGAAGAAGAAGAACGCGCTAAAAAAGTTCGAGAAGAGCAGAGAAAAAGAGAAGAGGAACTTGCAAGAAAAGCTGCGGAAGAAAAAGAACAAAAAAGAAAAGAAGTGGAGAAAAAGAAACGAGAACTAGAGGAACAAATTAGGTAAATCTACTCCTCTTGTTGTCAAAACTATAAAATAAATGCAAAATTTTATTGATTATATTTTTATTGTTTTTAGAACTAAAGAGCTAGAAGAAGCTAAGAACAGGCAGGAAGAAGAAACAAGAAGAAAAATGGAATTGGAAGCAAAACTTAAGAAGGAAGCGGAAGAAAAGAAAAAGTTGGAGGAAGAATTAAAGAGAAAATCTGAAGAAGAAACAAAAAGAAAATTAGAAGAGGAGGCAAAAAGAAAGTCAGAAGCAGAGGCAAAGAGGAAACTGGAAGAAGATACAAAAAGAAAATTAGAAGAAGAAACGAAAAGGAAATTGGAAGAAGAGACACAAAGAAAATTGGAAGAAGAGACCAAAAGAAAATTGGAAGAAGAGACCAAAAAAAAATTGGAAGAAGAGCCCAAAAGAAAATTGGAAGAAGAGGCCAAAAGAAAATTGGAAGAAAAGACCAAAAGAATATTGGAAGAAGAGGCAAAAAGAAATTTGGCAGAGAAAACCAAGATAGAAAATGAGAAGAAGAAAAAATTAGAAGAAGAATACAACAAAAAATTGGAACAGGAGGTCAAAAAGGATTTAGAAGAGGTACCACAATTCATAAAACCTGAGAAAGAAAGTAAAAATATAACAAAAGAGACTACAACAGTGGAGGAACCAGGAAACAGTAAAGAAAATGAATTACAACAGCTGAAAATGCTTGAATTAAAAAAGAAAGCGGAAGAAGATGAACAGACAATTCGCGAAAACAAAAAGAAGGCAAATGAAGAAGCAAGGAAAGAAATGGAACGATTAAAGCTGGAAAAACAGCGCCAAGAAATGAGAGAGAAAGAAAGACGAGAGATGCTGAAGAAAACTCAGACTGGGATAAAAGAAGAGGAAATGAACATATCCACAGTGTTGAAAAATCAACAAGCAAAAGAAACGGAGAAACAAGAATCTGAGCTGCAAGAGAGAAAAAGAAAAGAGCTTGAGGAAAAAAGGAGGATTGAAGAATTAGAATACCACAAAAATGTTCTTCTAGAAAAACAAAAAGCCACTCAACGAGAAACAGAACGATTGCTGGAATGGGAGAAACGAATGAAAGAAGATAAAGAGAAGAGAAAGATGGCAGAAGAGGAACGAGAACGTGCCAGAAAACTTGCCGATCAGCAACGACAGAAACAGGAGGAGGAAGATGAGAAAGCAAGAAAGGAAAGAGAACAGCAAAGGTTGAAGGCCAGGGAAGAACTGAGAAAGGTTAGAGAATCTACGACCATTAAACCTTTAGATCTTCTCCCACAAGATAATAAAGAAAATGATCCTGGATTTGATCTAAAGAGTAAACTAGTTCTACCGAGTAGAGGGGAGAGGACGGATGAATCATTGAGGAAAGCCACCTACAATCATGTTAAAAACAAATCTGAAACAGACTCTGCCTATGTTAAAGTAAGCCTCCTATTCTATTTTTGGTAGCAAACAACTAATTAGTAAAATGCAATTATGGACAAACAAGATTTTATTGTTTAAGAAGAGAAAACCGGCTAGGTAACATATAAACCTAGAGTGGAGTATCATAGAGATAAATAATATTAGGATTCATTTGATATCAGTTAGATTTTTAGTCCTCGTAAGAACGTGTCATTATTATCAATTATTATTTATTCTACTACACCGATCGGTTTATATATTACCTAACCGGTCATTCCCTTTTAGGGGACTCTAAGCTATGTATCCCCAATATTGGCTAGAAATAGTTATCAAAGCTCTATATACACTCTAAGTATACAAACTAATGATGTTGCTCTTATAATGAGGACGCACATCAAGGGTAAACCTAGGAAACACACAACGAGGTTACATACATACATCGCAGCTTTATACACTAAGATTATATAAATATGCAAATAAGTAAAAATTCAATTTTGAAACAATAAATTATTAAATATCTGTAAATTAAGGAGGCGGAGAGTGCCATAGCTGCCGCACACAAAGCTAAACAGGAGGCGGAACTATTGAAAGCTAGGATAGAGATGGCAGTTGAGGACGGATCTATAGGACGAACCCCCCGGAGGCCGGTCTCTATGTATGAATCCTCGACCCCTGTTTACTATCACAGGGATAGTTCTGTTAGGAGGCACAGCAAGGATATTCATGTCAGGTAAAAAATACTAAGAGCTGGCAGCTTTTTGTTAACCCACATATAAATATATATTACACAAAATAGACCAACCGTAATAGGGTTAAGAGTTAAAATTATCAAAAAGACATTTTCTCAATTTCCCGATCGAAAAATGCCATTTAAGAAATGGCCATTTGAAGGAAAAATTATATTGCAAGGTCATGTTCATTTGTCATGGAAATTAACCAAGTGGCAATTTCTCAAATGTCCTAGCCAGAAAATGCCCTTCGACAAATTTTTTTTTTACTTTTGAAAAGTACCAGTCAGGGAAGCTGCTTCAGGGTTAATACTTACGAAAAGTGCATCTAAAAATCAATAGTTATGAAGAAGATTTGAGATTTAAACAGAATTAAAACCATTTAATCAACAAAGGGACAAAAAATGTTTGCTTTTAGATAACGTTTTAAAAAAAAATGCACTTTAATTATGTTTATAATTCTAGAAGAGAGGCTGATGATGACCTCGCTGACGAGGTTGAGGCTATCAGGCTAGCAGCTGACCTCAATTCTCGGAGGTTGCTAGCAGAGCAGAGGAAGGAGGCTGGAGGTGGTGGAGGATCACTCAGTAGAACTAGGATAAGAGCTCTGCTGGATAAACAACGAACTCAACGGGTAAACAGCAGTCATTAAATTTATAGCTTTTATAGTCTTAAAATTATCTATCTATATATATACATATATATATATATATAAAGTTGCAATCTCTGTTTGTTTGTCCGATCATAACTCAGGAACCCCGGGACCGATTTGCCTCAAATTTTAATTTAATTTAATTTAACTCGAGAGAGCCACGGAAATGTTCTTTGCTTGGTTTTGAGTTTCCAAGTTGATTTTATCAACATTAATAGCGAACATTTAGTTTCCTGGTAAGATCGACCAAGTGCGGGTAAACGGTGGGAGTAACTATGAGTACCGTGGGCAACGCTGTGTTCCCAAGCTAGTCTGAAATAATTCTTCAACTGGGTCCCTGAAACTCTGAAATAAGAAGACGACATTTAAGTAATGTAATTCGTATTTGATATTATTGTGAATAAAATAGTTCTACCAGTGAAATGGGTCTGTAATCTGCACGTAATATATATTCACTGAACAAAAGCTTTTTCATATTTAATGAACTATCTCTATGTATCTACTTCAGTATAAAAGTCGTCTTCCTCTTCCTAAGTTTTATGGGTCCCACTAAAGACAAATACCAAACAAAGCATGACTGATTTTTAATAATTAATTCAATTGACTCATTAAGCAAAAATTGTTGAAAACCGCAAAAGTAAATATAAAAAAGTGGTTGAAGGAAATTCTCCCGAACAATGCAGCAGCATTTTGGGTTGTTTTACACACACACATCTTTACAACTAACAAAAAAATAAAGTTAAAGACTATACTTTTTGTTTACAGGAAGACGAGGAGAAGGTTAGAAAGGAGAAAAGAGAAACTCAGGATTATAATAAATTTTTGTGGGTTTACCGATAAATTCAATTATATATATAATAAACTAAATTTATCTCTGTTATAAATTATATTAATAAAAGTTTACGAAGTTTCATGAAAATTTCATTGAAGAAATGATGAATTTATGAAGAAATAAATAGAAGAAAGTAATTAAGTCTTTGCCTCAAACTCTGATTTTCTACTCCCTACAACTTCGCTACCGTCGTAGACCTTAGATATTACGCATTCTGTTAGATAAAATAGTCGAAGTTTGAAATATAATATATACATAAGTAAAATGGTAACATAAAAAAAAGATGAACAGTTTTTGATGAAAAATCCGAATAAAGAGAGACATACTTAGAATGGTGGAAAAATGAAAGACAAGATTGAAGAAAAACAAACATTATTGCTCTCTGCAGATTAATTAAACCATGACTTTTTTGTCTGGTAAAACACAGCATTGATGGATCCCCTATCAGGCTGTGACATCCGTCTTGTGTTTACTTTACCGCCCAGAGACAGTACGACTACGTGCTGCAAGTCGGCAGTACTAAATATGCGTCCAACTCTGAAATAACTATCTTTACATTATAATGCTTTAGGTCTAGTCATAGGATAAAATTAAATAAGTCAACAGGCATGAATTAGACAATGTTATTTCTTGTTTTCTTTAGACGCACACTGTAACAAATATAATTCATTCTAATAATTCGTTCTATATGTGCACTGTAACAAATATAGTTCATTCTAATAATTCGTTCTATATGTGCACTTTTGTACGCAAGAGAAGTTTCAAAAGAAAAACTGTATTTTTTTTTTGTTTAAAAAAATTATTTTGACATTTTCTTATTTACGGTGTTTCCAATAATTTATCTCACTTGTTTGGACAGTATTACCTAAACAAATCTTTTCGAAGACGACAATTGATTCATTCATGCTGAATATAACGAATTTTATTGGGACCAGTAATATAAATTGTTGTTTCATTTTATTTGGTTTTAAAGTATAACAGTTTACTTCAGAATAAACAGGTAATTAGTAATTACAATAGGTTGTACATATTAGGATAAGTCAAATTTCACTTTGGCTTTGATTTTTGAGAAGGCTTTGATTTTTGAACAATTATGTTTGCCAAAAAGAATTTACTAAATCATCAATGACACTGACACACTCAAACGTTTTTTTATTGCTGTCATGTTTATAGATTACTTGATAAAACATAAACGTCGTCTTCGATTTGTTTAGTTTTCTCTCGGATTTTTACTTTCAGCTGAACATTGATACTTGCTGCAGTCTTGGATGTAGGTGGCAGACTAAAATAGAAAAAAACATGGTCAATCAATAAAATATTTAGTCTAAATTATAAAAATATTTTTTAACTCGACTCTTTACCTGTTTTATTGTGTTCAATGTCCCGATCCACGAAGTGGGCGTAAGGCGGTCAAGTACAATAAAAAGAACATCTTTGCCTTAAAAAAATTTAATTTATAAATTATCTAAATGCTTTGATTAATGGTCACAACAACAAAAATGAATGTCAAAATCTAGGTTTGGAAATCTGTAAAAATACTTTTTATGGAAAATGGTTGACAATAAATTTAATCAGAATAATGTGTTAAACTTATTCCGGTCTCTGATTGGTCCAAATTTGTTATTTAACCAATGATAAAAATCAATTTTCCTGCAAGACTAATGTAACCTATACTGATGAAAAACCGGAAATTAAGTATTAATTTTTTAGTATTTAGTGTTTAGATTAATTACTCTTCCACAGTAAGAAAATAAGTGCATGTTATTTGAATAAAATACAAGAAAACTTTTTAATCTATAGATATCAATATATCTGAAGAGATGTCATTAGGTCGGAATGAATGAAAAGAGAAGAATAAATGAAGCCAGTATTGCTATATTTTCTCTTCTTCTCTACAACTATTGGACATGCTAGAGTAACTAGTTTAACTACATAGCAATTGCTGCAGTTACATACATTCTCAACCCCAGTTCTAATTAAAAGAAAGAGGAAGACGACTATCATTCCAATTTTTATACCTGGAAGTTCAGCTGCATATTCTCCAGCAAGACAAGCTGACCGCTCCCAGCACTGCTGCTCACCCAGTGCTGCTCCCACCAGGGTTGTTATTCCTTCCTGAATTCAAAAATATTTGATCTTTTTTATAAAATAATAGTTGAAGGCCTGGCGTTGACCGTAGAAAAATAAGAATAAAAAAATTGAAAAAAGATTAAAATTTTGAAAAAACCCGATTATTTTTAGCCCAAAACACCCTCCGGCCACCCATGAGTGTCTACAAAAAATGTCAGCCCATTCGGTCCAGCCGTTTGGCCGGCTATAGGCAGCATATATATATATATATGAATGTCTTGTTTTATTATATGGAAGATAAGCTGTCTTTTTAGGACTAGACCTGGACATTTTAAAGGAACAAAATTGCTTAAAGTCTTCAATTTTTTTTTGTAAATTATGGGTTTAATTCAATACGTTCATTTAAAAGTTATCACCTCGTTTAGATATTTGCTAGAGGAAAGGGGCAACAAAATATCATTTCAAGAAACGGCTGTTTTACTTAGATAAACTTGCATGTTACATGGTGTCCCAATAAAGATGGGGTTAATTTACTTGTTTTTACCTTTTTACATGTTCTTTTTAGGTTTTTAACCACAACATTTTTAGAAATCCACTTAAAACAAGTAATATCTTAGGCTGCTAAAAGTGTAACCTACTCTGGTGTATTTGATTTACTGTGTAAAATAAAAGACGTTTTCATTGTTTTATGAACCCTCTGTATAAAATACAGCCTGTACTTCTGGAAAAAGGATTCTCAAGACATATCCGGAATAAAACTAGAAGTCAGAAGAACTAAACATAAAATACGATTTGGTAAAACATTTTAAAATCAAAGTTGATAAAATACCTTGAGATTCTCTTGATCATGTCCCTCTCCTAGATCAAGATCACTTCTGTCCCGGTCAGTTACACCTAGATCACTCCTACCCTCTCTAATATAGATACATTGGTTAGAGAACATATTCAGAGTTTTTTTTTTCCTACCTGAGCAATATCTAACCAGTAACCACCTCCCAAACTACCTATGTCAACCAATCTACTTAACTAATATCTAACCACCTACCTATCTACAGGGTGTCCCAAAAAACATGGGAATTCAGTGACGAATTGGATATCGTCTTTGTTATGAATTAGACTTGCAGTACCTAATTTCAAAAGCCATAATATTATTATGTCTGCTAGAGTTTATTTTATGAAAAGGGTAAAAGACTGTAAAGGTGTGTCTATAATGTCTCTGCAAGATGAACAGTGAAGACAGACAAGTTTACTCTGTTTGTATACTGCAATTTTCTTGTTTTACTAAGTACAACCGTATGCAGTCAAAACATAAACAAACAAAATGTGAACTTAGCAGACGAAAATCTTACAAATTACAGCTTTCTCAGTAGGTATCACTTTACTAAATCAAAGAATTATCTAAAAAGACGATATCGAATTCGTCACTGAATTCCCATGTTTTTTGGGACACCCTGTACCTAAATACTTATGTCAACCAATCTACCAATCTAATATCTAACCACCTACCTACCCACCTTATTATCCATATCAACAAATCTACCAATCTACTTACAAATCTTTCCACATATATACCAATCTATCAACTTACCTAACTATGTCTACCAATCTACCATTCTATTCACCTATCCGCCAATCTATCGATCTATATATCTATCTATATATCTATCCATCTATCTATCCGCCTTTCTATCTACTTGCCTGGACCTGAAGCGCTCTACTACTCCATCTACTACACTTCGAACCAGCTTCATGTCGACCAGCGCTCCAAGAGCAGACGCTATAGCGCCGGCCAGCTCACGACCCTAAACCAAGCACAGAATCAGTAAAGAACGTAATAAATGTCGTCCTAATTAAAAGAATTGTTGACGAAAGAAAAGCTAAAACATCAAAGTCAATGATTCAAAAAAGGCTAAGCCAGACAGGGACGGATACAGGATTTAAGTGAGGAGGGGGCAAGATTTTTTAGGAACAAAAAAATCATAATTAGGAACAAAAAATCGAGCTGCATGCGAAAATTTTTTTTTGACTTAAAATACTCAAAAAGAGTCAAAATTAATGACTACAGACTAAAAAACTTGATTTTTAACTTTTCACACATTATAGTTTATTAAGACATATTTTTCCTGTTTTTCCCTTAAGCATGCTATTGAGAAGCTATTCTGAAAATAGGAATCAAAAAAATTCCAAATTCAGGGGGGGCTACGCCCCTCCCTGAATCTGTCAGGGGGTTTGCGAATGTCCCCCGCACCCCCCCTGTATCCGCCCCTGAAGCCAGATAAATAAATAAATAAATAAATATAAATAAATAAACTAGAAGGGGATGTTTATTTGCTGTCCTGTATTACTTCATAAAGTCTGTATTTGTACTATACTGCTTGCTCTGGCTAATTGAAATTCGGCGGCCGGTTAATGAAATGAACTGGAATATACAATGAAAAGGGTACTTTTGTAAATCGACTTTTCCCTCTGTACTGTAAATGGTGAGTCACTTAAAATTACGTCTTCAATTACAAAACTTACTATATTTTTTTTTTGCAAAAATGCACCTTTTTTAATTCTAAAATTTAAATAAATATTTTAATAATACCATAACTGTTTAATGTTACAAAAGTATGAAGCTTTGATATTTTAATTTCTGTTTTATGGAATATGGTTTTTGAATGTGTTCATTGTTTTAAATATATATATGTATATATATATTCAACAAAGATACTTCAAAATATTAGATTGACTTTTTAAAAATGGGATAACGTTTGTGAATTTTTCTTTATTCAATATTAACCCATTGTTGACAATTAGGTTTATTTTGACCAGTAAAAAGTCTCCAAATTGGGACCAGATTTAATGAGTTTCGAGAAGTAGTTGAACTATCAACCGCAGGTTCAAATCTTGAATCACCGATTCAAAGTTAAAGATTCATGATGAATTGGTGGATTAGGATTTGCACCGTTGGAAGGCAATTCAGCGTCCGGCCTCTTAAATTCATTAAATTCGGTCCCAAATCGGCGTTATAACTGCTCATTTACCTGTTTAATAGATTCAGAAACATAATAGTTTCCACCATAGCTCAGAGACATGGTTTCTAAGAGAGCCTGAGATTCTCCCTCCCTCCGCACTCTTTTCCCTGTAGGCACTGGTTCTCTTGCCCCAGGTGGGGGTGGGGGAATAAGTATCTTAAAGAGAGGATTTCCCATAGAGGTTTGCTGTTCTCCAAATGTTTCAACTGCCCAAGTGGTGAATACATACATAAGGGCCAGGAATCCATAGTACCATAGGTTCCTCATTCTTCTAGATAATACAGGATATAGATTACAGTACATGGAACCCGTAGTACCATAGGTTCCTCATTCTTCTAGATAATACATGGTATAGATTACAATACATGGAACAGTAGTACCATAGGTTCCTCATTCTTCTAAATAATACAGGACATAGATTACAGTACATGGGACCCGTAGTACCATAGGTTCCTCATTCTTCTAGATAATACAGGATATAGATTACTGTACATGGAACCCGTAGTACCATGGGTTCCTCATTCTTCTAGATAATACAGGATATAGATTACAGTACATGGAACCCGTAGTACCATAGGTTCCTCATTCTTCTAGATAATACAGGATATAGATTACAGTGCATGGAACCCGTAGTACCATAGGTTCCTCATTCTTTAGATAATACAGGATATAGATTACATTACATGGAACCCGTAGTACCATAGGTTCCTCATTCTTCTAGATAATGCATGGTATAGATTACAGTGCATGGAACCCGTAGTACCATAGTTTCCTCATTATTCTAGATAATACATGGTATAGATTACAGTACATGGAACCCGTAGTACCACAGGTTCCTCATTCTTCTAGATAATACAGGATATAGATTACTGTACACGGAACCCGTAGTACCATATAGGTTCCTCATTCTTCTAGATAATACATGGTGTAGATTACAGTGCATGGAACCCGTAGTACCATAAGTTCCTCATTCTTTAGATAATACAGGATATAGATTACATTACATGGAACCCGTAGTACCATAGGTTCCTCATTCTTCTAGATAACACATGGTAAAGATTACAGTACATGGAACCCGTAGTACCATAGGTTCCTTATTCTTCTAGATAATACATGGTATACATTACAGTACATGGAACCCGTAGTACCATAGGTTCATCATTCTTCTAGATAATACAGGATATAGATTACAGTACATGGAACCCGTAGTACCATAGGTTCCTCATTCTTCTAGATAATAAGGATATAGATTACAGTACTTGGAACTCGTAGTACCATAGGTTCCTCATTCTTCTAGGTAATACAGGATATAGATTACAATACATGGAACCCATAGTACAACATATTTCTCATTCTTCTAGATAATACATGGTATAGATTAGAGTACATAGAACCCGTAGTACCATAGGTTTCTCACTTCTTCATTCTTCGGAAATAAATAATGTCAATTTCGTAGTTTAAATAAAAGTTATTAAAACCCTTTAAATGGTAGGCGCAACCAAAGTAAAATTCCTGATAGTGAAATAAAACTATTGAGAAAGGAAAACTTGTTTTCTAATAAGATATGACATATTTTTTTGTTACATAGCAAACCCATTTTTCATATCTCTCAAAAGTTAGATCCGGTCAGCTCTGGTTTATTAAATTAAAGATCACCTGTTTAATTTCTAACTATCGTTAAGATCTCTGACTGCTCGTGTGAGTGTAAGGTGAACCTGAAACTGACCGCATGAACCCTAGTTGTCCCAACCAAAAACAGGTTTCAACAAAAAAGCAAAAAAAAATCTTTTTTTAGACAAGAAAAATAAACATTGAAGAAAAAGTTTAAAATATCTTCGTTTACAATTTGAGGGAATATTTACCCCTTAGAGGAATTTTTAATCATTCTCTCTCTGTTGCATATTCACATTTTTATAAAATTTTCTTAGAAAATTCAGAAAAAGAGAAAAGTGGAGGGGTAATATAGAAAATTAAGAAAAGAAAGCAGTGAAAGGGGAAGGGCAATATAGAAAATTAAGAAAAGAAAGCAGTGAAAGTGGAAGGGTAACATAGAAAATTAAGAAAAGAGAAAAGTAAAAAGGGAAGGGTAATATAGAAAATTAAGAAAAGAGAACAGTAAGAGGGGAAGGGTAATATGGAAAATTAAGAAAAGAAAGCAGTGAAAGGGGAAGGGCAATATAGAAAAAGAAAATTAAGAAAAGAAAGCAGTGAAAGTGGAAGTGTAATGTAGAAAACTAAGAAAAGAGAACAGTAAAAGTGGAAGGGTAATATAGAAAACTAAGAAAAGAGAATAGTAAAAGGGGAAGGGTAATATAGACAACTAAGAAAAGAGAACAGTAAAAGTGGAACGGTAATATAGACAACTAAGAAAAGAGAACAGTAAAAGTGGAAGGGTAACATAGAAAACTAAGAAAAGAGAACAGTAAAAGTGGAAGGGTAACATAGAAAACTAAGAAAAGAGAACAGTAAAAGTGGAAGGGTAACATAGAAAACTAAGAAAAGAGAACAGTAAAAGTGGAAGGGTAATATAGAAAACTAAAAAATCAGTTGAAGGAATGAAACTAAAATTACAACATACATAACATGTTAAACAATACCCTTTACAAGAAAATGTTTTATTCAAAAATAAGAAAATAATAAAACAAATAACATATTATTTTCTTAACAATATTGTGATGAATATAAATGTTGAATGATAAAACAGCGAGGCAGTTGTTATTTGTGAAATAAGCTCAATCAGCATCTGAGAAAACTTAACTACATAATTCTAAAAATCAATGATAATTCTAAACTATATATAAGACGTTTTACTAAATTGTGCACAAAAACTATATTTCAACATGTTATATTCCTATTATGTGTATATATATTTTTGTAAATTTGCGGATAGCAAGCGTCTAAAGCTACAATTTGTAAATTGTAAATACTTCTAAAGATTGTAAACGTGATTATCAAGGGAAAGTTGTAAACGTGAATTTCAAGGAAAGGCTGTAAACGTGAATATCAAGGAAAAGCTGTAAACGTGAATATCAAGGGTTAAGTTGTAAACGTGAATACAAAGGAAAAGATGTAAACGTGAATATCAAGGGTCAAATTGTAAACGTGATTATCAAGGAAAAGCTGTAAACGTGAATATCAAGGGTTAAGTTGTAAACGTTAATATCAATGGTTAAGTTGTAAACGTGAATATCAAGGGTTAAGTTGTAAACGTGAATATCAAGGGTTAAGTTGTAAACGGGAATATCAAGGGTTAAGTTATAAACGTGAATATCAAGGTTTAAGTTGTAAACGTGAATATAAAGGGTTAAGTTGTAAACGGGAATATCAAGGGTTAAGTTATAAACATGAATATCAAGGGTTAAGTTGTAAAAGTGAATTATAATGGAAAGTTGTAAACGTGAATATCTAGAAAAAGTTGTAAACGTAATTATCAAGGGAAAGCTGTACAAGAGTGAATAACAAGGGAAAGTTGTAAACGTGATTATCTAAAAACGTTGCAAACGTTAATATCAAGGGATAGTTCTAAACGTGATTATTAATGCAAATTTGTAAACGTGAATATCAAGGGAAAGCTGTAAACGTGATTATCAAGGGAAAGCTGTAAACGTGATATCAAGGGAAAGCTGTAAACGTGATTATCAAGGGAAAGCTGTAAACGTGAATTCCAAGGAAAAGTTGAAAAAGTCTAAATGTTTCCAAATCATCTTAATTAAGACTTTTTGCACAAAATAGTTCAACATTTCTTTATTTGCGATTTAAATGTAGAAATCGTTTTTAACGACTGAATTTTATTTTGCTTTTTCTGTCTAAAATATCTCATCATAGAAGACTAACAGATCTCTGAATATCAGCATTGAAATATTAAATCGAAAAAAAAACTAGCAGCGATCAAGTTTGGGATATATTCTGCACAAGTATGAATTACAAAAAGTTGTAAATTTTTAACAATAAAATACGTTTCTTTGGTTTTGATTAAAATTTGAAACAATTTATCAAAATTTGTGACAAAAGAGTTCAAAATGCGAGTTTTATATATTTTCAAAACTGTGCGCTTAGCTATGCTTTGTGCAGCTTGTACAGTATTACGAGTTAAGAGCATGGGTAATGACCCATCCCTTTTATACAGATGGGCATATGAGATGTCGTCTTTACTCCTTTAATGATTCCGCTAACATACTTCCGTTCACATCTTCTTCCATGAAATCCACGAGAACAACTGAAATATTAATTCTGTAAATCATGGTTCACGTTTTTTTTAAATCATAGTTGTTATCAATTATGTTTAATGTTTTTTTTGTTGTAAATTATCGGTGTTTTTTTTCGATCCTGGACCATGGTCCTTTTTTTATAAATTTTAAGGTCCATGTTTTTTATTCATTATTATTTTACTAGCCTTAAAGGGCGCGTCGCGCCCATATTCTAAATTAATTGTGAACAGCTCTTTGTGTACATCGTAAAACAAAACAAAATTAATTCGCGGATTTTCACAAAAATTTCGTGGATTTAAAAATTTTTCAAAAATTTAATGAAGATCAAATTTTGATGGATACAAACATTTGAAATTTTGATCATTCATAAACCTTCCATGGGGTCACGTGATGTCCCACAAAAAATGTGGGCCCGATCGGTTCAGCCGTTTTGACGTTTATTGGATACAAACAAACAGACAAACAGACAGACAAGCCAAATTTATAGATAGATTACTAGTTTGAACTTTAGGTTTAAAGTTTATTTTTATTTTGTGTTATTTTTTATCTGTCACGTGGCAAACTAATTGCTTAGTCCATAGTTTTTTCAATTTAAGTCCATGTATTCTTATTTTACACATATCAGTCCAATAATTGATTTTTTTCTTCCATTTCCTAAATAAAAGTCCATGTTTTTTTGTGGCTCATTTTTTTCAGTTATAGTCTACATTAGTCCTTGAATTTTTTCAATTACTAAAGAATTATTAAATTTATTCAAGTTTAGATATACTTAATCCTAGTTGAGTTTTTGCCACAAACTCAGATTTTCTAATTCCTCTTTGCAACCCAATGTCGTAACTCGTAGACCTTAAATATTTTATGAATTCTGTTTTATCAAATATCTACATTTGAAATTTCTAAGGTTTACACCATTATGTTGCAAAAAAAGGAATTATTTGCGGCAAAAACTCAGAACCTTTGAATCTATATATAAATTAAGCTTGGGTGTCTGGGTGTCTGTTTGTTTGTTTGTATCCAATAAACGTCAAAACTTCTGAACCGATCGGGCCCAAATTTTTTGTGGGACATCACGTGACCACAGGGAAGGTTTATGAATGATAAAAAAATGTGTTTTAAAGGTTTTTAATTTTGTAAAAAAAATTTAAATTCTTTTTTTTCCAAAAATCCGCAAAATTTTTTTCTCCTTTGTTTAAAAATGTAAACAAAAAGAACATGTTCACAATTTAAATAGAAGATGGGCGTGAAGCGCCCTAAAAGCCTAGTAATATAAAAATAAGTAATTCTATATAAAGAAATATCTTATCAAAAATATTTGATCTCTTTTCATGTTCTAAGAAAGTTTTATCAATGCTGATAATTAATGGTTTTATCATATTTAAAATATTTTAAATTAGGTTAAATATAATAGGAGTTTTATGATCAACTTTATGACCTTCACTTCCATCTAAATGTATGAAGGTAGGAAGCGCCAAGTATCTCCCGATCGATGCTTAAGTCAAGAATAGATTTACTTTTTCAACCTCTATTCAAATCACCATTAACATTACCATTTTGAGTCCATACAGGCCCATTTCAAGTTCATTTCTTGTGTAATAATAGCAGGGATAGAAGTGGAAGGAGAGTACAGATAGTACAGTGAGTCTCAAAAAAAGTTATTTAACTACTTTAAATCGTCTTTGATATCAAAAAAGTTAAGTAAACCAGATGTAGAGCTATTTTAACCAAAAGACTGTCAGTCTTTAAAGGGAGTGTTCGCATAAAATAAAAGGGGGTAGGGGCTAATATCGAATTAAATTCGATATTGATCGGTACTAATTTTAATTTTATTTGATACCTCTTCAATTCGACATAAGTTTATACCCCCTTTCATTTTACGCGGATATTCCCTTTAATATCTGCGATTTTTGGTCCCTAAAAAAAATAACTCACTGGCAGGCTAGTTCTCCGATATCCGAGTAGTAAAGGCAGGAACCCCCATTCATGCAATAGTTTTCAACAGGACACCCTGTAGAGAACAGGGGGTTCTTTAAACCTAAATAAAACAGGTTTTTAAATGCACTTTAAACATATTTCAATGCACCACTCCAATTTAAACATAAAGAATTGCCAAATTTATTTGATGTTACTGAAACGATTTTGTGACCTCGCAGCTCCACTAGTTTTGATTTTACTTTTATCGCAATTTTCATGCCTGCATATTGGAACTTTTAAATCAATCTAACATGAAAAGAGTCTTTGTCAAAATTCTAATTTGCTAATCCCTAGATCCTAACAACCCAATATCGTAAGATCAAAGGGTTTTACCTTCAGGTTCAAAACTGTAGTGATTAGACAACTTGAAGATTGTGGCAATTACTCAATTCCTTACTTTAATTATGCGTGGAACAAATCACACGAAAAAAAGTAAAGATATAATGTTAACACAGACTTCCGTTTTCTTCTTCACCTTTCGTTGAAGATATTGCAGAAGTACTCCGGAACTGTGAATGTGAGCTTAACCTTGGTCGAACAACTTCTTGGGGTCGCGGGGTCGTAGAAGTCGTCTTTAGTTTAACACGAGAAGCGTGACCGTAGGAGTTGTACGCGTGGCACTGAACATGAATCGAACTGTCAATTGGTCCTGGAGATTTAGTCAATATAATTATACTAAAAAGAGCTTCCAGGATTATTAAAGAATACTATCATTGTGCTCGAATTTTCAAAAATATATGAAAATAGGTCGACCACATGAAAACTCTGATAGAATTTAAAATGGCAGGATTCCATTTGGCTTTCCCTTTTTATTGGTTTAGGAAAAATATCAATTTGATAGGATTGCGTAAATCTTTTATAGAATTTACTCACAACTTGATAGAATGTAATAAAAAACTTTTAAAAATTCTACAGTTAACCCCTAAATTAGCGATAAAACGAAACAATTTATCAAATGTCGTCTTGAATTTTTTTAATGGGTTTTATACTATTTTACGTAAATCTCAGTATTTGCGAAAATAAATAAATAGCCATGAACATGCAGGAACAGTTTTAAAGAGCTCCTTATAATTATTTAATTTAAAAACTAAATATCTGCAACATTCCATTATCAGAAAGTGAAAAATACGACATTTGATGAATTCTTTCGATGTATGGCTCATTTAGGGTTTAACTGTAGTTTAAGTAAAAAAATAATAGGAACAAGTATAAGCTTTTTTCCCGGACAAAAATGAGCCTTTTTGATGGTTTTATGATTGATTTTTGTTTATCTTGATACGCAGAAAGATGTAACTTTAACGCTTGAGAACATATTTTTTATTTACAGATTCAAATAAAACTACATTTCTTGAAGTGTGATTGTACAAATTTTACTAGTTAATTGATCGGAAACTATATTTTCAATAAGGTTTGCATTTAATTATTATATTGAGCAATTCCTTCAAGTTTAAGAACCGACTTCCGCAGGTATTTTGAGATCCTAAACATAACAAATATATATATATATATTTAAATCTGAATCTAGCTACACTGAGAACTAGAAAGCTCTAGAATAGGAAGACGACATCATAGGAATATTTTAGTGGGTTCAATGATGTTACAAATGAAATAGTTTCATTAGTAGCACATCATATCACTTATTAAGTTAAATGGGTCTGTTATGGTACAAAATTGCTGTGTCTCAGTTTCCCCGGACTATTTAAAGTCATAACATAAGGTTTAGAGTCGTCTTGTGTCTCATGTTTCACCGGACTAAAGTCATAACTTGTGGTTTAGAGTCGTCTTGTGTCTTATGTTTCACCGGACTAAAGTCATAACTTGAGGTTTAGAGTCGTCTTGTGTCTTATGTTTCACCGGACTATTTAAAGTAATAACTTGAGGTTTAGAGTCGTCTTGTGTCTCATGTTTCACCGGACTAAAGTCATAACTTGAGGTTATAAGTCGTCTTTCTATTTATCAGTTTTCCGGTTCTCACTGCACTCAGCTCATGAGTGTACATACTACATATGTTGCTTATTTATTTGTTTGCATCCAATAAACGATTAAATCGATTGGAAATTTTTTTATTTGATCTGATATTTCCTTGGGGAATGTATAAAATATAAGAATTTTAAGGCCCCCCCCCCCCCCCCAAAAAAAGAGTTTTTGGAAATTTTTAAAGTTTACTTGCAAAAACAGGATAATCTGCGAAGCGTTTTATGTAGAGTATAAATTTATTTTATTTAAAATCATATGAAAAAAAGAATGGTCACAATTAATGCAATATAAACAAGTTAAAATTTGTATTAGAAATATTCAAAAATAAATAAAAATTACTTTTTGGTTTTAATCCTAGATTGTTGTGAGTGTTTGATAAGTTCACCATTCATCGTCCAATACAACGTTGGAGGAGGGTTTCCTCTAAAAAACATATAATTTTTCTAATATTCAAAATAATAATATTTGTATATACACAGGGTTACCCAAAAAGGATCAAACCTCTAAAAATTTGACGATTTGAAGCTTGATTTGTGGTTTATGCAATCGACTGAGTATTGATTAACTGAATTATTAAGCACAGAAATAAGCCAGGTTTTGGCCTACAATGAACCCTGAATGCAAGAAAACAAATTCCGTACTATCGTCTCATCCTTTGTGGGTAACCCTGTATGTGTACTTACTAATTACATGTTTTGCTGACGTGTTTTAGTCAATAAATTATATAATAATTTTATTCTGAAAAACAATTTAAAATTTAGATTAATAATTAAATACCTGTCAGGGGTGTACACTAAAATTATTAGTTTAATATTTGTCCATATTTGAATTATTAATTTAATATCTGTCCAGGGTTTACTCTTAAAGTATTAATCAAATATCTTTAATTCCAGGGTTTACACTTGAATTATTAATTAAGTATCTGTCCTTGGTTTACACTTGAATTATTAATTAAATATCTGTCCAGGGTTTACACTTGAATTATTAATTAAATATCTGTCCAGGGTTTACATGAATTATTAATTAAATATCTGTCCAGGGTTTACACTTGAATTATTAATTAAATATCTGTCCAGGGCTTAAACTTATATTATCAATTAAATATCCGTCCAGGGTTTACACTTGAATTATTAATTAAATATCTGTCCAGGGTTTACTCTTGAATTATTAATTAAATATCTGTCCAGGATTTACACTTGAATTATTAATTAAATATCTGTCCAGGGTTTAAACTTATATTATCAATTAAATATCTGTCCAGGGTTTAAACTTATATTATCAATTAAATATCCGTCCAGGGTTAACTCTTGAATTATTAATTAAATATCTGTCCAGGGCTTAAACTTATATTATCAATTAAATATCCGTCCAGGGTTAACTCTTGAAGTATTAATTAAATATCTGTCCAGGGTTTACATTTGAATTATTAATTAAATATCTGTCCAGGGTTTACATTTGAATTATTAATTAGATATCTGTCCAGGGTTTAAATTCAAAGATCTGATTTAATATTTTAATTATTAATTAAAAATCTGTCTGCAGGGTTTACACTTGAATAAATAAAAAAGAATGCAAACCTGGCCGAGCATGTTAATCTCATATCCTCTTTACTGTCCTCCTCCTCCTCTTCTTCTTTACTTCCATTTGTCCTTCCATTTCTCTTCTTTTCCTTCTTCTTCTCCTCCTTCTCCTTCTTCTCCTCCTTTTCCTCTTTCTCTTCATTCTCCTCCTTCTCCTCCTTCTCCTCCTTCTCCTCATCGTCCTCTCTAAGCATTGAATTCATAATAAAATATAATATGTTTCAAGTTTAAAAATTATAATTGATTGCTTTTTAATACCTACATAACCTAGCCTTTGTGCCCTTGTTCTAACCTTCTTCTTCCGTTCAACTTTCATTACGTTCCTTATTTTCATTATCCAGGTTCTTACTTTCCTCTTAGTATACAGGTCCATATTTTCCAGTTTTTGTTCTAACTTCTCTTTCTATGCTCTTACTTTCACGTTTTTGTCCTTACTTTCCTGTTTATGTCTTAATTTTTCTCTATTCCCTTACTTTCCTGTTTATGCCCTAACTGTCTTGTACAGGTCCTTACTTTATTGTTTATGTCCTAATTGTCTGTTTTTTTTCTGTTTTTGTCCTTACTTTTCCTGTTCGAATACTTTTTTACTGTTCACATCCTTACTTTTTGTTCAGGCCCTTACTTTCCTGTTTAGGTCCTTACATTTCAGTTTATTTCCTTACTGTCCAGTTCAGGTCCTTAATTTTCTGTTTTTTTCCTTACCTTCCTGTTCAGATCCCTACTTTTATGTTCATATACTTACCTTGCCTGTTCAGATCCATACCATCCTGTTCAGATCCTTACTTTC